CATACCTACCACAGAACATGATAAACGACTTTTAATAATGACGAACTTGGCGTGGCTTGGCCAGTTGACTATCGGGCCATCATACTCACGGTGATCACGGCTTGTGCAGGAGTACACGGTAGGGTAAGACGTAGCTAGATATTGCTCCAATATATTTATATTACGGCAATTTTTATTATTGAAAGTGCTCTGATTGGAAGTTTTATTACGGCAAAACTTTACGATACAGAATTGTATTTCCCGATCTCTTTTTCGTTGAACCTTGGCTTTTGGTCCACTTGGCCGGTATAATTGCTATCAATAAGGCTTTCAAAAGGGGCGGGAACTAGTTTCGGTGGATGCTTTTACGGCGGATGCTTTATTACATATACATTGTAGTTAAAGCCGTATAGACTGAAGACCCTCTCAGGGACACTATTTTATAAATTAGCACCACTCGTTTTACAAAACACGCACTTCGTAGCAGTAGTTCAGTGAAGTGGCAGCCCGACTGAGTGCTTTTACAAAATCTGCGATGTCTTGGCAACTAATAGCTGAATTGGAAAATATGAAGTATGCATTGACACCTGTGAGGTAGCGTTGAAATAGGCGACCCGATTTTGGAACGCCACGTTCAGACCCCATTTAGCGAATATCTGGTAGAAAGCAATTGTCTATTCAAACCGGGGATGTAAAGCATTCGATGCCTCCTCCGACCAAACTGGTCGGCCGGAGCGTTCGCTGGTCTGCTATATGCGGCTTCATCGCGTTCGCGATGGTCACCACAACTCCGGTAGCCGTATCTTCGTATTCTAAACGATCCTCGCGGTTGTGGTGTCATATGGGACGTGACGCCACTGTCGATCAATTTCCTTCACGATATCCGTCTTTGACCGGACAGGCCCGCTTCATATGTCCGACTTTGTCGCATTTAAATTATTTGCCTTTGAACAGAACCCAGTCTTTTGCAGTCCGTTCCGATTTCCCGTTCCATTCTCCTTTCGACCGTATCCTTGTCAGCCTTTGAGCCGGCCTCCGTTCATCTTAAACGCGCGTTCCGCGGTATCCTTCTTTTCCAACCGCTCGTTCTCTTTTAATAGCTTTTCTGTCACGTCTTTGAGCGGCACATCCGTTTCACTGTCGACGATTGACGGGATCCCTCGTACTCAAAAGGTAAACAGCTCAACAGCACAACATTTGTCGTACGTCGCCGACCGGCTCTACCAGTGGTTGCAATCCGACAGCCAGTCGAGCGTCCCGAAGTTTAGCCATCGTCGTATCATCGTTCTTCTTGAGTTCATGTAGCCGTCGTGGCATCGTGACACCATTGCCGATCGGCTTTCCGGTTGTAGTACTCACTCCGGGCACTCCTGGTATGCATGGCGCGAGCCGCAGACTGAATCTTCGTTTGATGCTGATGCTCTACGGCTTAAGAGACGATACCGAGCGCTTTACGTCCATGACCAACCAGGCCCCCGTAACCTCGTTTTCCGGTATGACCACCTCCACGTGAGCAAAGCAAAGCGTCATGCGCATGTTATACCCCCTCCCCCCCCACCCACGTGGAAGTTGTTTTCACAACTCAGGAGGACTTTAAATAATTACTTGGTTGTCAGAATTGGAACGTGTATGTATAACATTCTAGCGGCGGTTAGCTTGTTCAATTTCTGCTTGATCCATTGGAGGCAAATGCCGAAGTGATTAGATTGGTAACCGAAACCCTCCTACATGACTTTCTAAACAGTATCCCTCTATTAGCTTTCATGGTGTCTTCTTGTAAGTGTTTGTGCAAGCAAAGATTCTGCCGTACCTGAACCATCCATACCGTAAGGTTAGGATGTTGTCCTTCCATATTCGCTCCTGATTGAAATGGAATCCAATCCGGGACCGATCCGAGCGATGGCGGCGTACTTCAGCACAGTTTTGCTGCTATTAGTTTTTCCAACCTAAACGAGAATAGCGCGTGACCTGGGTATAAATGGCTGGAGGAGACGCCTGAAAACTCGCTATAGACCAATTACGATCGTTGGTAACGGTTCAGCTAGTTATAACAGGTAAAAAAAAAGCCGAGGCCATGAAACTGACACTATGCCTTAAACGTTCAGGCTGCAACAAGCAATTGTGTCGTGAATGCCATCGCGATTGTAACAACGCAAGAAACCCACGTCGATAACACCATGTTTGCAATCCATTTCAGAGCTTCAAACGCGATTATTAAATAGTTTATATAATGTTAATACAAGGGTCAAATACAAATTTGAGCAACCGGTTTTGCGTTACGAAAACATAAACTATATTCGGTAAATGAGACCCCAATAAACCCATTATTTTATTGCGTGCGTTCGGCAAGACGGAAATATAGCAGTCGTTGCGAAGGGATCGTAAATGAGCTCAATTTGATCCAGATACGCTTGTGTGTCACAACATTCAGCTCACCAATATATCAGCTGATTTGCAAATAAGCTGTGGCGGTTTGCCCATAGAGAGAAGGTAAATGTTAGAAAAACAAACTAGTAAAAGTAATGTCAAGTTGTCAAATGATCCTATTATTGTTTCAGGATCTGTCATGGGTTAATTCGTTTCTTGAGAGACAATGCGATATCCCAAAGCAAAATCCGATCATTGCATTCGACAAAAAAACCACGATGTTCGTCAACTGGTCAGGTCCATGAATTCGAAAACTACTTTATCCCCGAGGTCTCCAAATTTGGTTTACTTATCCACATTTGAATTGCAATGTCTGCGGTGTCTTGATGGATGAAAGGCCTGTGCAACCGAAGATACGCTTGGTGAGTGTGAAACCCTCGAAGGGAAAGGTGGAGGTAATCACCTTCTGTAAACCCGCGAGACCGAGAAAGCCATGGGATCGGCCCTGGACCAGTTTGTGTATCAGCGCATAGTACTGGGGCTCGCCAAGCTTGATAGTAGCTCTTGCGAGTGACCACTAACGTGCGGCATGTCTGTTGATGCTGCATTTCCTACTTGGGGTCTGCTGCAGCAGCTTTTGCGGGAATTCGCGACACCTAATCCGGCAAACCTTATTTAGTAGAAGTTCCATGCAAGCCGACAGAGTATGAGGGTATTGCTGGACTATGCGCAAGAGAGGAGAGCTCTGATTGCCGGGATGGCAGCGGACGCTAATTCAGAAGGGGTCAGCGCAAGCGAAGTTTTCCTTATACAACCTAACACTTTCGAAGAGGCGGAGAGCGTGGCAATGCCGAGCACAACTTCAGGTCGGCTCAACTTGGTTAGAGCGTTGACAGCGCAAGCTCTTCGAGTTATCCGAAGCTGATGAACGTCAGCTATCCTGAATCAGAAGAAGAGAAACGTCTTACCGCGGAGCATTGCGCCGTTATCACGATTCTTTGTGGCAGGCGCCCCCCCCCCCATTTTTTTATTTTTTTTGCTCTGGCGCAATAAGCGCGAGGCTCCTGTAGACATCCCTTCGACACATCCCCGGTAATAGGCAACACCCAAAACAGCTATAGTTTTTCACGGGTTTGACGCAAACCATGTCGGGGAAAGCGTATCGATAATCTACCGAGTGGCAAGCTCGATATTTAATCCGGCGATAATGTAAAGATTGACATGCTCAATGTAATTCGGTCTCCACGCCTAGCGAACAGTAGTCCAAATGATCGATAAATGCTCGACTATCAAAGATTACTGGTAAATATAAATCACGGATCTATATGTTTTCTATCTAAATGACGCAAAACCTATCGCAGTTTCAGAATGTGTTGTGATCCTTGTTTTCGCAGTTCATTGGCGTATATAAAATAACCACATGGTTTAGAATAGCCATGTATCACGAGACGCAGGGCTCAATGTACCAGCTGTGCGACGAAATGCCGATCGTTTGGCTAATTTCAAAATTATTGTGATATCTATCTACGACATCGACGACAACACACTATATACTGTGGAAATTGACTAACATGTATATGAATTTAATGAATGTGAGAAGAGGAGCTTCAAATTAAACCAATATCGATATAATCTAGTCTGAACACGGTAATAGGCCATTATTGGATGGCACTCTTGAACAATAGTATCCGGTAAAATTAAAGTGAATTGACTACTAAAAGGGTACATTAGTTGTGAGCATCGACATTATTGTTATAGTTGGTTGTCGGTACCATGTCATATTTTTTGTTTATTTATTTACTTCGACAACAAACTTTCTCTTTCTTTGTTTTGAAAAAGCGTGCATGGTCCATACATATGTATACCTGAAAGGGTATCGTCACGTATCATACTTCTATTTCCAAACTGTTTCTAGAATTTGAAGCGTTGAAAGGACGCCGTAGCACTTTTCGCATTCCCGAGCATAATGCTTGTAAGCTCGTACTAATGTATTTTTATCGTATGGCAAAAAGGATATCTGATACCAAATCTGTTATGGATCGGTTCTGGTTGCCCCGCGGTTTCCGCCGCGGCTATCCAGTCTGTCCCTGGAATCAGATGGGTCATCTGGCTTTAGCAAAACAACCGAACAACATTGTAAGTCGGGTGGGAGGCCGAAGATGAAATCTAACGATAACGAGCGCCATACCTCGGTAGCCACTGGGAGAGGTCGCAAAAACGACGGGGAGGGGGGGTTAACGCGCTGGCAGACATCGCTAGTGCGCACTCATTCACGTACCATTTGCTCTCATGTGGGAATACGAGTCGTGTAACAGCGGTGAATGTCTTCTCGCGATCGAGACGGGCGCCTAGCGTGGCATCGTGGAACGCATGGATAATCCGTGAGCGCAAAATGCGGCATTACGTCGGGGCGTCGATGTTATTGATGCAGTTCATCAGCCATCCGTACCAGACGCTAGCGGTGACTATGGTTCCGTATGCAGAGAGAAAGAGCTTCAGCGTATCGGCGCTGGGAGAGCGAAGATGAATTAAAAATTTCTGGAGTACCTCGAGTCATGTTCGTAAGCAGCTCGGAATTCGTCACGGATTTTGCGTTTCGGAGACGCTCGTCAGGCGACACCTGTCACCTCACGTAGCACTCGCGTATATAACGTCTACATCGAACGAAGCTTTGTGGACCCAGCGACCCGCGTTGGGTGTAGTCGAGACGCCAAGACAGTGCGTCGGTGAGGGTTTTGTTCTTGTCCGGCTAGTAGTGGACCACGTGGCTGTACCGCGACCGACACGTTTTTTTTTGCGAGTGGGTGTTGTATCTTGCGTACCCCACGCAGGAGCGCGCGGACCTTTGGATGGCCTACGTGGCAGTCGTGACCAGCGGCGTTGCAAAAATAGCGAATGTATAGAAGAGCGTACATAGTTGTAGAACTTTGAGCTGATCGGCTCGATCCGAGGCCGTGTTCGCGAGCATCGATGATGAAATCAGAGAATATGTACACTTGCTACTTAAAATTAAGATAGAGATGTCAAGGAACGTCACTCCGATGCGTCCACTGCTTGTAGTAACGGAAGGAACGGGTGTAGGGTCGGGGGGGGGGCACAGAGTGTTCGCGAAGATATCTTGCCACGCTATCTCGAGTTTCACTATGCACAATGGGATCGGTGCCTGTGACCAATCACGGGTTAGCTCGCTGAACGTGAGGTTCACCGACCCACATACCCACCGACGTGATCCTGCATCGGCTATGGTGTCCTCGTACACGGGAATGTGCGACGCTATAAAACGCAGTCAGAATTGTAGCTCAAACGCGCTGAGAAGGCAGATCAAAAGCTTCGCACGAGTGTTTCTCGAAGCCATTCCCAACTGCCATGAGCCACCGGTGATGTTGTCAATGCGGAAATGACCATGAATGATACTTGCCTGAGATGACTGGCAAACCACAGCGGGACGAACTTTTTGGCCACAAATGCGCACGCTAGATGCTCCCGAAAGTTGATGTCTAAATCGTTAGTCGAGCCCAGGTGGAAGTTCTTGATGAGCCTTCAATCATAAGGGGAGCACTGGTATGTGAGGTACATGCGCCGCGACAGGGTTATTGTGCAAATCCCGATGTCAGGTTCATCCGGAAAGACGGTAACGTCGGGTGATGCGCTAGAATTGAAGTACTCGAGGGGGACGCCGCTGAGCGACGAAGCGCGGAGTATATGCAAGACGGTGCGCTTGATGCGGTGGATGGCGCGGCCGCCGAAGCGTAGATTTTGTAAACACATGCGCATGGGTATCACACACGTGTCGCCATGTCGAAGGGACCCCAGAAGTTAGCGCTACTCGGTACGAAAGAGATTGGCTGGGTGAAAAGGCTTTGCTACGAGAAGCTTGGCCTTCAAAAACTTTGACTCTAGTATAGCAATCGTACCGGCATTTTTGCTGAAGACGAGGCCCACCGCCTTGAGCGTGGATCTCCAACGTGTGAACTTGTCGTCAGTAGCCACTGCAAAGTCCATCACAATCGTCATCGCGTAACGCAGTAAACATTCACTGTCGACGCGGTTAGTTACGGTATCGGGTGCGATTTTACGTGATCATCGCGATAGTAGTAGTTATAGAACCCGCTAGGATAGGTGGCGTTGGTGTACAACTCGTGTATGAACGCCACCGCACCTCCCAAGATGATGTACTTTCCGAAGATGCCGGTCCACACAAACGCGACTGAGAGGTCAATGACGACCGTCTTGGCTTTGGTGGTGACCCCAAAACATGAAAACGCACTCGCTGTTGGCGCACGCGTTATGATTGGCGGACGCGACGTCGACGGCCATTTACTTGACGATATTGGCTAGGGATTTATGGCTGATATTCAGCGCAACGCCTGAGCAGTGATCGATAGATGCAGACGGGATGTCGTCCCCATTCGTATGAGAGCTGACCAAACCCCCCTTGGAAAAAGAGAGGTCGCGGATAGCTCGACCCGAGATGCGTGGGTAGCCGCCGCCTTTGCCGACGATGCTGAACGGGCTGACGAATAGCTCCGGTGCAATTATTATGATGCCTGCGTTTACAGCAATTCAGCGAAATACGTCCTGTTCTTTCCTTTTGTTGGTTGTCAAAACCAGGATGTGCTGCAAAGTCGATAAATAATTGAGGGGAAACGACCGCTGTGGAGACGTTGGGGAGTTTAGACGCACGCGGGAACCCTCGGAAGCGATACGCAGCAAATCGTCGACATGATCGTATCCTTGGCAATGCGCCAGCAGAGTGTCAGGCTGTAGGGCGTTATTGGGCTGAAAGGCTGTGCGTGACTGGCAACGAACTGGTTCGGTGAACGGTTTGAGAGGCATTCGTGTGCCTCGGATGAGCTCAAACATTGCGTGTCGCATGGGTTTCTCAAGATCGTCGCGTCTGGGCACGGGGATGGCCGAGTGTCGGTGGGAGATTGCACGTTGACTTTGCGGAATGCAGAGAAGAGGGACGAGTTGCGGATGGAATCCCAAAGTCTGCGCGCTGGATACCTGCGTCGTGAACCCGTGCCGGCGTTGCGCGTGACGTCGATGGGCGTGGAGATCGTTGGTTCCCTTAGGATTGGCGCTGAGAGACTGCGGAATAGGTAAGCGCGGGGTAAGTACAAGAGAGAGAACGTAGATGAATGCTGGTCAGCTGTAATGCGAAGACTGTCACCAGAAAGCGCGTATGTGATTAGAGAAGGTGGGTGCTTAAGGGCATTTCAACCCGAGGCTTCGTTGGAATGATCGGGGCTGTAAGCGGCCGGTTGTCCGTTTGTATTTAGCGGCCGGTTGTCCGGTGGTATTTGGCTGAAATGTGTTAGGCCGGTGCACTCGCATCCAATGTAAGGTTTCCGTTGGCAGTGTTGCCAGGATTCACGTCGGCAAGTGTGATGGGGTGTTGTAATCAACCATGTGGTTTACTAGAACTCAGCGTATCAGTATACTAGTGTGTATTCAGATTACGTCTGCATCTGGGATGCTGAAGCACTAAGGAAAAAGCCGTACCTGGCCGCATCAGGCGCGGCGGAAATCGGCCGAGCTTCCTAAGGGAGAAGCTCACCGGTGCAGCTCACAGATGCAGCAGGGAGCTCGTCTTACCAGGTGTATTTCCGACCCGCCGCACACGTGTCTGTGGTTCCACCGGAGAACTTGCCCCCACCAAAGAAGCGCAAGCTCGGCTCCACTCCTTCCATATCATGAGGGATAATGGCGCATACGATGGCTGGAATATCACTCGGGCGAGACGACGGACGTGGGTCGTCACCTCGGTGCACGCGGCGGTCGCGCACATGGGACCAAACGTCCGAGGAAGGCGCGTCAGAGCTGAGCTGGGCTGTCGCAGTGTACGTGTCGCTTAGTATTGGTGATATCGTGAAGCGCCATGGCCTATCTAATAGATATGAAAACAATTCGCGTTGTTGCGGACGAAAAACCCCGCCACTAAAAGGGAGACCGCTAGCAAGGTGAACAAAATCAGACCCAAATTGCTGAATGACCTCGTGCAGTGTGCGCAGTACGCGCTGCGGCGTATGATTGGGGTCCGTGGTCATTAGTGCGACGACGATCTCGCGAATGCTGTGTCTCGTGCTACTCGGCGTGCGCAAATGTGAGCAGACCATGCACCAATCCGAGCAAGTTAAAATACGTATTAGGTGCTGGGGGATGAAGCAATGCTACGTTAGTGCCGAAAGCATCGTTGGGGTTGGTGTAGGTCGATCCGGCTGCGAGTTGGGTTGCTGAGTCGGCACAGCCATAGTTCATGATGGACGTTCCGTGCCGACCAAAATCGATGCCCGACGGTAGCTCTGATAATCGCTTTGTGGTGGTCGAAGTAAACACATTCTAACCTGTGCATGCGTTAGTCAAACGTAGTAGATGGATCGGGCTCATAACCTGGTGTATGCCCGGATAGATGGGACAATATGGACGGATAATGATACTAACGTTAGCGCGGATCACCGAGAGTGGGAACTGGACCGTGCGGAAACGGCACACGGTTTTAGGAGGCAGCAGGCCGAAGAGGCTGACGAATATCCGAAAGTAAGGTCTCGAAACTATTCTCACGTCCGTGGCAGCATTAGTGGTGCGTGGATAAGGTTCAGGCACTGTGCTTCCAGGGCGAGCGTGAAGAACTGCCCTAGTGTCGAGAACAGTAAGGCGAGCTCGTGTGTTAGCCCCTCCCCCCCGTTACGAGAGCAAATCGTAAGTGCACCCCCTAACCTCATGCTTGATATTAAGCATGTTAAAGGCTAGTGATAACAAGGAGTTTGAATGAACCATATCCGCCTCTCAGTACAAAGCCACCCTTTATCACTGTCCATGTGACCACACGCTTCCTATCGAGCTTGTTCTGACGTGGTCTATAGCTGCATGCTAGATATAGAGCAAAACGATTTGGCCTTTTACAAGGAGAGTCTTTCTTTAGCTAAATCGAGTGCAAAGAATACTGCGAACGTCTTGTACTGCAGTGCAAAAGCAATGCAAAAGAAACACTAGCAGCTGATTGCACATCATGTGCCTACTCAGCAGTGGTGCGACCATTGCTACTGCCTTCATCATCGCCAGCGATCTCACCTTCACTCGCAGCACCACCTTCAGTCGAAGCCTCACCAGCGTTACCTGCCTTCTTCCCCGGTGGCCTCATTTGAATGCCGCGACCGCAGCGAGGCTTAGGGCGATCGCGACCATTCCTCCAGAGGTCGTGCCAGATCGCGTAGCATGTCCGCGTGTTGGCCGGGTAATTACCCTGGCGCGCTTTATCACACAAGTACAGCTTGCAATAGCTATTAGTAAGTGATGAAGAATCAATGCATTTTTAGACTTACCTCTTGTTCCCCTTACTGCACCCTGGACAAAAGAGCGGCGTGACCTGGCGCTTACTGCTCACTGTCTTGCGAATTGTACACACCTTCCACTGTCGTTGGCGGCACTTTCGAATACCGTTCACCTCCACCTACTCCTCGTCCATGGCCAAGCTGTAACCTTCGGAGCTTGTGGCGTCACCTCCACTTGGAGTCACAGGTGACACGCCAACGCGCACGAAGAGGATTGCGAAAAGAAATCCTGCTCCAGCAGCAGGGCAAATTCTACGGACGTTACTGACTAGACTGATGGAGAAGCAGTGTTACAGATGAAGACTATTATGAAGCAAGCTCTAGTGCACAACAGCAGGATAAAACATTTGATGCATTCTCAATTTTACTACCAACTCCAAGTCCCTCTCAAGCAAGAACTTCCGGATCCCCCACATCCTCTGCAATCCACGAGTGTGTCACAGTACATCTACAATAGACCAAACAACAGGAATTAGAATAAACCAGAAATAAATGCCGCAAATTCCGTTGGGCCCATGACCAGTAACTGCGCGTGGAGTTAAGAAATGAAGCATGCGTGGTCAGCGGCGGGCTCGCCTTTCATTTTCCTTGGCTCACCAGATACGATAAAGCTATTCGCAATAGCGATATCAAATAGGCCAAATGCCAGACTTTTGTAGTACTTGCGGAAGCGCAAGGAGAGCTGCAGCGAGTAGCGATGCAGCCGCAGCTGGTCGTGCACGTCCACCCCACCCATCCAGCGATGATATGCCTTCATGCTGGACGGGCAGGGGACCGATTCTTTCTGACCTTGGCTGCGAGGAATCCGACGCTCTATCACAAACGATACAAAACAAGGTTAGATAAATACACATACTAAACAATACACAAGACGTACCGCAAGTTGACATCGAGGTGTTGGCCCCGCAAGCCAGCATGCAGACTATCATGTTGTCGAACCAAACCAAAGTGCTGAGCTGCGGAACCGATTTGAAGACAGCCATTTGTGAGAATCTTCGAGGCGCTGACTTGGGGCGTTGCTTCTGTGGTTGTTGCCTCGTTTGCCTCGAGCTGACTTGTTGGGCGGCAGCAGTAACTCCTCTGCATCAATCACCTCTTCTTCAACTACATATTCTTCATCATCTTCCTGGCCACTCTCTTCTTCTGCTTCCGTGGCTTTCTCTGCCAGCTCCTCCGCCTAGAAAGCAGTTGCAGGTGCCTTCCCCTGTAGTCGCGGATATTTAGCTAAAGCATTATAGAAATTTACAAGCGCACCTTTCTTCTGCTTCTTGAGCGGAACCTTTGGCTTGATTAAGACAGTCATGCGTGGGCGTCTACCGGTTGTAGGAGGCGGCGGCGGTGCTGGTAACGTGGCTCCGTCGCCGTTCCCGAAGTCTGCATCTCGGTCTCGTGTTCCCGCGATGTACTCGCGGTGTTCACGCACTAGGCGATCCCTCTCCTCGCCGTCGTAGCCGCTCAGGCGGCGCATGAAAACCTCTGCGTCGCGGCCACAAACACGAAGTCGTTTGGACCAGGCATGTCTCAAAGCAGTGTATCCACAGAACTTTCTATTTGACAAAATTTAACCAAACCTGTGCAACAATGTCGTAAAAAATACAAATGGACATTTCCCACATTTCCCACATGCTTGATATCAAGCATGTGGGTTTTTGAGACAAGCTTCCGTATCAAGCCTAAGTAACGGGGGGGGTAGGTCTAGGAGAGCATTTGAGACAGCAGGTGCTAGGCCTATCTGTGGATCGGTTGGGCGGTTGCTTAGCTGTCCAACCAGCGGCCAACGTGCCACAAGGTGGGGGGGGGGGTAGGTGTGGTCTGGTTGGTGCTGGCGTTAAAGGTGCTGCGAAAACTAGCGAGATCAAATGGCTCACGTAGAGGGTGCGCTGGTTTGATGCCAACAGACGTGGGGTAAGGGGCGATGAATGTCGGGGCGAGGACCACTGACCGGGGCCGACGGGTCCATGATGAAAGGGTTCAGGGCGACGTGAGGCGGCTCAGCGGGGGTGGATACTTCGGATAGTTCGGTATGGTGCGCGGGAATCTGGTAGTCACAGGCGGCTGCGGTTATTTGTCCTCGATCACATGGGAGCTGGGCGCACCACCTAGGCCGCAGAACGTCGTTCTGGTGCGAGCCGATCCGGCGGGGTAGGTGTAGGCACTGTCCGTACAACCCGTCAATCGCGTGTTGGAAGTGCGACAGCCACAGAGGATGCTGTCATACTCGTAATTCATCCGGCCCAAGAGGATACACGTCGTTGCTTTGGAAGTTGTCGAACGTGCACGGATGTGTAAATCTCCGGTCGCACGACCCGACGCAATTTACCATCGCATAACTTGACTGTGACCTCGCCTTTGTCCTAACGGACATCGATGCTCAAAGAGAGCACTGCGAAGCCGTTGCTGGTCGCTCCTGTATCGAGGTGTTCTCGAAGCCGGCACCGGGCACCGGTGACACGGAGACTGGTAATAACCAATCTCCAATCACGTGGCGTGGAGGTGTACATGCAGCACACGAGGGTTTGCCGGTTGCGATTCCACCGGGGAGCCCGGACCTTTATTCATGTCAGTAGTACGACGCCTAGTGGGCCTGTCCGTTTTATTTTGCTTGTTAACACGGACGAGCTATGCCTCGACATGCGAAAAGCACTCGAGCTGTCGCACGGCACTCCGCCGCGTAATGAAGTAACGAAGCAAGTAAGAGAACGACCGTTACGACGTGTTGCATGGTGCTGGGGATTGTTCCACGCATCGATAACGCTATCAATGCGTGGCATAATCGTCAGCACCGTGTACCACGTCGGAACGGTCTCACTGGACTCAGGTGCCAATTCTTGAGGCTCAATGAGCGGTGTATGAGGCCGTCATCAGGTAGTTCCCGTATAGTGCGAGGCAAACGCCCCTTCAAGTGTAGAAATATCGTATCTCGTTTGACAATAGCGCGGTATGCCTTCGGGCGTACCAAACACGTAAATATTGATAAGGGAGGTCATCTTTGTGACCTTGAACACGTAAAAAAAAACCACAATCGACGAGTCTTTTGAACGCAGTCACGCATGGACATTGTACCTTGTGAAAGGGCGAAGCATCCCGGCCAAGTAGAGAATTCATCACGCGGCGGGTCGAACGCGAACCTGAGGTAATTCTGGAGGGTATCCCGATTGGCGAAGGGGTTGAGGTCGACGAAGCACTAGCCGAGTGTCCAGTCCTTCGCTTTCCCAGACAATCGCAGGAGGAGGGAGATGACCTTCGCGGGAAAGCGCCTATATCAATTTCAGGTGATGTCTATGTCGCCAAACCAACAGGGTACGTGGACGTCTCTAGTTCACGACGTCATACAGGATTGTTCGCAAGATAGTTGATTCTCGCTGATTCGCATCGCGTTCTTTTAAGGTTTGTGCCGCTAGGCGCCGCAGCGACGGGAGGACGACTGCTCCAGACACCGTCATGGGGTTGAGATCTTCCCACTCGATTCGAGTGAGATGGTTCGAAGCAGCGTGGTCGGGGTCTTGGCACATGTCGAGCTTGGGCATTGTAAGTCCGAACAAGTGCTACCAGGTATAACGGGAGAGGTAATTAGTCCGATACTTGCTTACACAATAGTGTTGAGAAAGCTCGCAATAGGACGCCTGGATTATTGGTGTAAAACAAACTCAACACTAACATTATTTGACCTGGCTACTTAAATACAAGACATCGCCTTATTGGATAATAATACGGCTGCCTACCAAATATCGACCGGTAGAGTGGCAATAATTCACCGACTTATGTAATGAAGCGGCCCATTACATTTTGGATCTGTCAAATGGATGATAATCTATGCGAATAAAATAGGAGTAATAATCCGGTTAAGTAGCCCCCTCCCGTGCTCGTTTGCTCGCAACTACCTAGTTGGGAACGGCTCACCTTCCGTTTGTGATTTCATAAATAGCGTTTCCAAAATGCGACGTCTCATCAAGTCTAAGTTTGACATCTACCTTGACAGTGGGACAGACGAGCGCGTCCAGCGCGACCTCTCGAGTATCATCCAGTTTGACGATAAGCAAGAAAAGGCTCCGGTCCGAAGTATGTACCCTTTTATCGATCACCGCGCATGGTATCCTCCGTCTAAGTACCCCGAGCTTCAACACGTCCTTATTGTTCCTGGAGTGGTTTGTGTCCAGCGTACCTTGTTTGTGTTTTATACACACTGTCGCTTATCGTAAGCACAAGCCCAATAATACGGTTTCTCGTTCCTCAGTCCTGATATTAATGAACGTGGCTTCAACGCGCGTGATACCATTCGCAACCCACATCTATGTCTTTACGAACAAAAGCTTGTACGCATTACACTCCGCGACAAGCCGTCGACACACCGTAGCTACTGAGTCAGCAACCGTGAATGCGGTCTATGAAATGCACTTTTTTCCAACTCCCGGCTTCGTATTACTCCGTTTGAAGTACTTATACTTCTTTGTGCTAGAAAAATTGAAAATCAGTACGACGACAAATCGTTCAAGCCCTTGGAGCTGAAGGCATACGACTCCGACTTTATGAACGAAAACAAAGAATACACTGCGTTTTTTTTACCCTTTACATCGACCTCCTGGCCTTGATGGTACCTTCAAGGCCAGGAGGTCGATGTAAAGGGTAACCACAGGACCCACTTCTAAGCCGACAACCACGTCACAACCTCTACGCCATCCCAGGAGCTCCCAACGTGAGTCACGTCAGGTTGAAAAGAAATAAAAAGATGAGAACAAGGAGAAGAAACCCGATTCGCCTGACCTCCCTCTTATGGCAAGCCTACTTTTTCCGGTTATAAATCAAATTTGTCCATCCTGTAGGAACAATTATCCTCCTTCCTCGCTTTATTATTTACAGCTCTTCTGTAGCGTTAATTAGTTGATCTCGTAAAAATACAAGCCGCATTCAATCCCCCCCATCGTTCTGGAGCTCCTGCCATCGTAGTTCACTTCGTCTCCCTTCTTTCTTCAATCACTCGAAAACTTCCCTCCGTCTAGCCAAAGGTAGAAGTTCGTATAATTCTCCCACGCATCGTTTGCGCCTGTCTCACGGTAACCTCGCTTCGCGACCTGTAGCACTACCACTTGCCGATGACCAACCGGATGACAACCATCCACTTGCTGTTGTTCAGCATCCCGTAGCTCAACAGCTAGCTGCCCTGCAGCTGTTCGTGGATCAAAGACTCTCTGCAGGTTCGGTGCCAGCGAGCCCGCGCTCACTTGAGCAATATCCTCGTATAGCGTTACCAAGCAGACATAGACGATCGGGTACGTACGCATCCACTTCGGGAGATTAAATGTTTGCGCAAGGCATTCCCCGTCCTCGACCTTAAACGGCCCGACGAAGCGAGATCTTAGTTTAGTATTAAAGAACGAATACACTTCATGCGTAGGTAGGTTAAGTGCGCTTAGTAAAATTAGATTCCCGACCTCGAATATTTCTACATTACTTCCGCCCTTGAGATTCGCTTGTGCCTTCGAGATGGCTTGACTTACAGCCATAGCGTCGCGCACGTGGTGCATTCTGCTTAGTCTTTCAAGAGACAAGCTCATAGATTTGCTTGCCAACCATAACCGATGTAACATCAGCCAGTCGCTCGACTATTCCCCCCCCCAATAACCCATAAACTGCTGCCATGCGGCGTCAGTGGAATGTAAGGGCTCACCAAGCCGCTTACATAGCACGGAGCAAATCCTGACGAGGCTTACGCTATTCAATGCGAACTCAGCGAGTGGGAGCATTTTGCTTTATCGTTTCGATGCTTCAGCGCATACACCCCGAAGCCTATCCTCCACAATGCGATTCACGAGTTCCGTTTGAGCGGCGGATGATACGCTGTGGAGATGTCCAAAATACT